GGCTGCATCATTTTATCCTTGTTTCCTGCTTACGATGATTCTGGGTTTCTATTCAGGAAAAGTGGCATAAGGTTTTCAGAAAGTGAGTTAATAAGAAAAGCACTTGCACACAGCTACAGCAAAAATCCTAAGGGGCAGAGTTGCCCCTAGGGTGTGTAGGCCTGGGCAAGTAGTTTTTGTGGGGCTGCTGTCTACATAAGCAATTTGAGTCATCCTCAAATCAACTTTTCAGCACCATTCTGGTGGCCCGATCTCACATGATCCCACAAAAAACAAAAATCCTGTGCTGGCCCTCAGGAGCGATCTGCTCACCAGGAAGCTCTTTTGGAAGCCGGCTTGGATCCTATAAGCTGTGGGTTCTGGAGCTTTTTGGGGCATCTGGTTGACCTTGTGCCCTGATGAGAAGAAATGAGAACTAGCTGGTCCCAGACACCAGAGGGGGACTGTGGGCATTTCAATAGGTGCTTCCAGGAGCCAGAACCCATGCAGGACCTATATGTGCCTGGGACTCCCCGCTCACATGGTGCTGCTGGTTCCAGGCACGGAAAGGGGACTTGGAAGTCCCCATGAAGGCATTCCAAGAGCGGAGTGGGATGATGTTTGAACAGTATTAAGATTTAAATAGCAATTACTTCCAAATCTCTTAGGTGCTTTAGCTGTAAGGGAAAAAAGCTATCGTAAAGAGGAAGCCAGCTGGAAAGTTCTGGTATTTACAATAGCTAATTCTGTTTGTGGGTTTGATGGTAAAAGATACTTCGTTTTTTTTTAACTTTGGAATTTTGTAAGATGTTCAAGCAGAGGACTGTGTTTGCCTTCTGGGTGCCAGCTTAGCCCAGTTGGCTGTAAATGCTTGGGACCCTCTGTGAGCTGGCCCAAGGTGGACATTATAAATCTACTTTACATGGATGCTACTTCTAAAGAGGTGTAGAGACACAGATGACAGCAGAGCTGCAGTGGAGAGAGCAAGGAGAGAGTCGGACAAATCCAGGGTGACCTCTGTCACCTTGGGCAAGTGGCTTCTGAGCCCTAGTGTTAGATGTAAAATGGAGAGCACCTACTTCATCGGGCTGAGATGAGGAGTAACCATGCCCAGGGTATGTGCACACAAACATGTTCACGGCTGTATGAACTCAAAACGTACAGGGAGCAGCTGTTCTAGAGAAGAAAAGATAGACCACAGCAGCCATTGCTTTCAACTGTTTTATTGCTAAACTATCATGATACAAGCCGTATAAAAATACTTTACATATAGCAAAAATAAACTACATTAAACTGGAGATTAAAAATGATTTGCATAGGAATGTGATGTATTCAGCCTCCTTTAACAGTCAAGATTCTCAAAACCTATGCCTTCCAGCACTACCCCGTTGGAGAGACTTCTTTCTATTTGTTGGAGAACTAATTAGGACATTCTCAACATCCCCTCCCCTCTGAGGGCTGTAGAGGCGACAGGGTAAGTGAGGTTCTTGGACAAGATATTCAGGACGCTAAGCTTGTCCCAACCACAGCCTCCGTCTGCTCGGGCAGATGCAGAAAGCAGAAAGCTGAAAGCACCAGCTCTAATGGAAACAACATCATTAGCATCCAGTTCATCCAGACCCTGAACTAGGCAGGTGGAGTTGATTCTCATCTGCCAACAGCTGCATAAAGGCAGAGTGTGGAGCCTTTCTTCCAGCACCCAACACCCCATCTCATTTTCAGAGGGGCTTGCTTAGGGAGCATCTCTGCCTCACCAATCACCAGAAAAGTCTGTTTTTAAACAAACTGAGTTAAGACTGTGGCGTTGGCTGTAACTCGAGGCACTCATGAAAGTTGAGGGAGACTGATGTTTGCAATCACAGTTTCGCGTGATGCTCTTTTCTTAGGCATGTAGCAGGAATGCAGGAAGACACCGCAGTGGCTGCTTGGGCTCCATGAGATTTAATGCCCAAGTCCCAAGCTTGGGAGACCCGAGGTTAAGTGTGTTGGGCACCTGCTACAAGGCTGACCTTCCAGACAGTGAGTTCAGGGACGTTCACCCCAGCTTGTCAAGAATGTCACAACCCCATGCCTCTTGTAAACGTGAAAAAAATTGTGAACTGAACCCCTGATATTCTTTCAATTCAGAACAATAGAAAGCACTTAGAAAGTGCGTTTGGACATGAAAATAAACAAATTCAGCCTCCCTTCAGTCCAGAGGGACAATTAGAACACATCGGCTTCTGATCTAAATGCGACAGCTCCCATCCTGGCCAAGGCTGGCTTCCTGAGACGGGGGTCTTGGCTACGGGATGTAAACAAGAAAGGCTACAACCGTGCTTCCCAGTTCTTAGAAGGAATCAACTCGATTCATCCTAGGCTGTGTCTATGCTGGAAAACTCTGGGTGTCCTTTGGATAATGCGTAGGGGGGTGATCTGCCAGGATTCAGTCAGCTCTGTAAACATTAGCCTGGACTTCTTAGGGTTCTGTGAACACGAACTCTTTTAGAATCCCACTACAAACATGCAGTTTTTCTTTTTTTAATTCAAAATCATCTACTGGATCACTTATTTGGGGGATCTAAGCCCTTTACAATTATTCTCAGTGACAAGATCCAGGCTTAGAGCTGAAAAACATCAGCAACAATCTCAAGAAACAGGTGGTTCCTTCTTCCACAAAGCCATCCCTCCTCCTTTCTCCGGAGACGCGTTCTCCTAGGAGACAGGTGACAGGCACTGAGGTGGGGTTTTTTTTTTTTTTTTTTCTGGAATGATTAACAAATTTTCAAGAATACATCATTTCTCTTAGGGGAAAAAGAAATCATCAACATATATGTAAAAAGAGACACTTAAAAAAGATTTCTGACCATTTATAAATATTTTCTAATTCCAACAGGGGTGCAATATTTTGATGACAGATAAAAAGCATAAAAATACAGATAAGAAAATAAAATTTAATAACATACTAATTAATTTGGATTGCTATTATATATTATCAAGCAGCAGTATTTTTTGTACAATACAGGAAGACTTGCAAACTTTGGAAATATACTACATTCAGCAACATGGTAGATTTCTGTTGGAAGTGCTACATATTTACATTTCCTTGGATGTTAACAAGTGCAAACCTCAACCTCAGATCCTTCTAACACACCTGCGACACACACATCTTTACCACTTAGACATCGTTACTTTCTCGTTCTCCTAGAGGATCTTATTGCCTCTTTCCATACCGAAAATATTTCATGAGCAATTACTCTTGGCAAAACTTCCTCCTGGCACTTGTAACTGACAAAACTTTCTTGATAGCTGTCGGTTCCTAATAGACTTTCTCTTGCCTGTTTATGTCTCAAAACTAATGCTTTTGTTTCTCTTTCCTCTGCTACTTGGTATAGTTGTTTATGAAAGTGCTTCCTATAATATCCAGCTAGGATGTCTTAAAAAAGAGTTTGTGTGTGTATTATACACACACACGTACATATGTATGTACAAGAGTTTGAACTACCAGGAGGCCATTTCACTACCATGGTTAGAAGATTGATGGAAAATGCATTAGTCCTTTTTCACCCCATGCACAGTGAAGCTGAGTGACTTTGCTACAATAGCAGGAAGGCATTTGGGTAAAACGTTCAGATAACTGAGGAAAAGCCAAATTCCCTCATGTGCAAAAGATGGCTCCTAGCCAGGTCAAGTGAGAACAAATCACTCACCAGACACTAACTCTTCCCCGTGAAGTCAATGTGGCTGGAGAAAAAGTTCTTTAGGTAAAGCTGCTTGTATAATAAGCTTTTTATTAGCAAGAAGCTCGCATCCCAGAAGCTTTGCAGCAGCGGTCAACTTCTTACTGGCATTCTGTTTGTGGAAAAGAGTTTTGCTAAACTCTGTGCTTCGGGGGAGTGTGGCAGAAAGGTCCCCTGTTGTTGGGGGGAAAATGCTAGGTCTTGGCCAAAAGGTTACATAGGCGTGGGTGCAAAGGCCCCAGCCTGGGCATTCTGTCCTCTATTTAGAACACCAAACACACCAGGCCATGGTCACCATGACCTGCGCACCTGGCCCAGCTCTCAGGAAGGTGTTGCTCTGGGTCATCTTGATGAGAAAGCCAGGACTTAGAGAACCCACAGTGGGCCCTTAACTGCCATGATGCTCTTCTCAGGCCTTCTGCCCAGCAGATTTGATTGAGAAATCACTCCGAGGGTAGCCTTTTGAAGAGTGTTACGAAAATCTATACTCTGTTGATTACCGGGAAAGCAACTGAACAGCTGAAAAGGAATCCTCACTCGTCCCCAGGGTGTCTGCAATAAATGCAAACAGAAACACATCTGTGTGATAAAAACTCACCTGCCAAGAACTTTGAGATTTTATTGGTTTGCATCCAAGGAGGAAGACTCTGGATGACTCTGGGTGTGCCCAGTGGAGAGAAACAACTGGGGAAAATTCACAAATAGCGCACAATTGGCCTGAGCAGAGTGCATTCAAACTAAGGAATGTGTGAGTGGATCCGCATCTATTCGATGAGTCCTGTGCTGGACGAGGCAGTGAATGCACACAGGTCCTGGGGCCGAAGGGAGCTTTAAATGGGTTCAGGTAAAAACAACCAACGACCTTTGGGGCCAAATCCTGAGCTTGAGTGTCCCACCTTGAGTCTAGGCCAGAGAGGAAATTCAGCCCTTTTCCTCTATCACGGGGAAAGCCACTCACAGAACGCTGACGCCACTTAAGCCAAAAATCGCCTCATCTCAAAACTGTTTCACTTAACAAAAATACCCTCTCTTTTTCTTTTTCTTTTTTTTTTTGGTTGCTTTAGCCTTTCTGCCACTCTTTCTCAAAATTTAATGCACATGCTTGAGATTCTTAACTACTTTATGGGCAAAGCACTCTGGCTGTTAGGAAGGAAGAAAGCAGGAACATCAGCAAGCTGGTGGGTGGCAGGGCTGCGGCGGCCGGGCGCTCGGCCGCCTGGGCACCTGCTCCAGTCCCGGACCGCGGGCTGCAGGGGAGGAGCCGCTGGCCGAGAAGGCGCCCCCTGTAGGCGCCTTTGGCCAGCTTTCTGAAGCAGAGAGAAATAAAACAAACGTGTACAAGTGTCATAACTTAACGCCGAGAAGTTTTAACAGGTGATCTTGTGTGGGCCAGACGGTTTTGCTTCCGAATGAGAAAACTGAGAAGTAAAGCTCGAGCTGTGGCCCAGCTGTGGCCGGGAAGAGGCGACGCCCAAGGATGGCGGTCCTGCTTCTCTGCGTGTCTTCGGCCTGTAAGCTGGACTCTTGGGCCACGTTCTTTGGGTGTTCTGTTTGACAACTCCTTTCCTTCAAAAGGTACAGGGGCTGTATCTGGGACCTGGAAAAAGGAAGGCAGGGCTGCCGTTTAATCACAGTGCCCACATCTTCCGCCCCACCCCAGCCCGGGCCCCCGGGCTCCGGTCACTCCATCTCGGCGCGGTCCAGCGTGCCGTCTTGTTCAGAACGTGAGTTTGGTCAGCAGGCACTTAAGGTGAGGACGGGACACCATTAAAGTCAACCGAGATGCTCTTTGGGATTTAAAACAAAAATCAAAGGCAGAGAGTTCTCCCTGGTGTTTCTAGAGAGAGGTGGCGAGCTCCTGAATCGAGAGTCAGCTTTCTGCCAGAACATGTCCCGCGTGTGGGCTCCGGGCCGGGAGATGTACAGGAAAGGGAACAGAGGTGGGGGCAGTGGAAGGCTCCGAGGGCTCAGCTACGGAAGGTGTCTTGCTAATGGCTTCTTCTACGTCTGATTTCTGGCGGGAGGTCCTGAAAACTCCTTCCTGATAATTTCATTAACTACAAAAGAAAAGAGAAAGAGAGAAAAGAGAGGAGGGGCGAGTGAGAGGCCACCACAAACACGGATCAGGTTAGCGTTCTAGAAGCTAAAACAATTGGGCTGTTTCTTAAAACACATTCTCTTTCTCTGCACTAATACATTTGACAATTTTTAACATGAGAAATGCCTTCTTACATCGTGACTTTTTTTTCTGGATTATAATATTTTATGCTATGGATTTATTAGTAAAAATTGCCCAAATGTTAACTTTAAAAAATCGTTGCAGGGGGCCAGCCCGGTGGCGCAGCGGTTAAGTGTGTGTGCTCCACTTCGGTGGCCCGGGGTTTGCAGGTTCGGATCCCGGGCGCGAACCTACGCACCGCTCATCAAGCCATGCTGTTGCAGCGTCCCGTATAAAGTGGAGGAAGATGGGCACGGACGTTAGCCCAGGGCCAATCTTCCTCAGCAAAAAAGAGGAGGATTGGCAACAGATGTTAGCTCAGGGCTAATCTTGCTCAAAAAAAAAAAAAAAATCGTGGCAGAAATGGATTTGGGCCGTGGGGCATGTTTTAAGTAACATTCTCTCTGTCTTTTTATTTAATGCACTTCAGGCTCTCTAATGTAGACCAAACTCCTTCCATTATTATGACATCTAGAAAATACCTACTACATGACTAGCACACATTTCCTTGACCCACAAAACATACAGCTCTCAAAAGAGGGGCCTTTAGAAGAGAGTGGGTGGGGTGCCCCAGACAAAGCGTAGCCATCCATGTAAATGTAACCTCTCTTTCAGCACAACCAGGACTCCCCCCGCCACAGCTCCCCACCCCCTACACACACACTGGTGCAGGATCAGGCTGGGAGTCTTCTGAAGCAGAAAGTATCCTTGGTGGGGTTCTGGAAAATTTGGTCACCCCCCCCCCAACCCCAGAAGGACTGTGGACCTCGCAGCAGGGACCCAAGAACGCAGCACCCGCCGCTGGCATCAGACGCTGGCCTCCCCCATTTGGGCCACTTCTCTGGGGCACTGGTTCCCGGAATCAAGGCAGTAAGGTCTTAGAGTAGTGGCTCCTGCAAAAGGCTTCCTTCCGAGTTCTTGGAAAGAAGCTGCTATCACTGGCAGCCCAGACCCAGGGCGGAGGTGCGTACATGCCACAAGGTGTGTGGACACCTGCGGTTTTGCAGTTGGATTGTGTAGACTGGCCCCAGAGGTGGGAGAGGAGAGGAGGCAGACCCTTTTGGGATCCCATCAAAGGTGGATTAATCTCCCCTCTCCTAGTTCTGATGCTGAATTCTTCCCACAGCCTCCTCCGACTTGAGCCTTCTCCTGAAGTTAGAGATGGACAATGAGCAGCGAGGGTTAACTGCTGAGCTCTGCCCAAAGCCTCCCCCTGTTCAAACCAGGCGCTCCTGGGCCTAGGGTGCTTCTCCCCAGAAACCCCTGCCGGATGAGTCTGCCACCCCGTGACAGAGGAGAGTGAACACAACTGCTTCCAAGCCGGGTGAGCCGGTTGGTGTGGTTGACCTCTCTGTGCCTCAGTTTCCTCGCCTGTAAAGAGGGAATCATGCTAGCGTGTGGCCTTTAGGGCTGCTGTGAGGATGAGGCCTGGACGTCCACACAGGCTCCCAGCACGCGCCTGGTGACTGGTACTCAGTACTCAGTGGCGTTAGCTGCGACGGTTGGTAACACCCCCACGCTTTGACCTCGGGGCTGGGTTTTGGGTCAGAAGCCAGTCGGGCTCCTCTGCTGTTCCTCAGATGCAGGCTGGAGGCACGTGCAAGGCGAGAGTTCAGGTTCTGGAGCCAGAGGGCCAGAGTTAGAACCCCACCTCTGCTCTGTGCCTCAGTTTCCCCATCTGTAAATTGTGTACAAAAATACTAGCTTCCTCTGGGGTTGCTGAGGAGCTTGGAAGAGATAGTGTAAGTGACAAAGTTATCGCAGTGCCCAGTGTGTAGCAGGTGTTGGTTCGTAGAGTAGTATGTATTAGATAATGTATAAATGTATTAGAATATGATACATGCATGTGAATGTATGAGAATGTGTGTATTATAATCACAAACATTTCCGAAATGCGGGAATGGATCCATAAATAGGAACTCAGGATGAACTCCTATATTCAGCTAACCAGCATTAATTAGGCACTTACTGTGTACCAGCTGACTCCCAGGGGTCCTAAACCAGGAACCCAGGAAAAATGGCACCCCCAGCCCCGCCCCTCCACAGACCTTGCCAGGGCCCTTTGTGAGGCAGAGAGGGGGCAGCAGTGAAAGCAGAAAGGGGGGCGGGGGTCAGAGCAGCTTCACGAGAAGCTTTTCAAAGCCCGGATTCTGAAGGGCTTCCTGTTTTCTCAACCTAGGAAACGAGAGGAGTCGATCCTTAGTGGAAACTTTCCACAGCCCAGCTTTCTAAAAATAGCTGGTAGGCAGAGATGCTGGCACCTCGGCCCCTACAAAGGGGTCGTTTCCCTTCTCAGAACACAGGGCCTGTGGCGGGGGCCGGGATGGGGATGGACGCTGGGAGACGTGTCAGGCAGGCAGAAGTGGCTTTCCCCTCCCTTCAGATGAAAACGGTCCTGCTTTCTGAAAGTCAATTTCGGGTAGGAGCTAACAGTGGCATCTGGAAACCTTCAGCGAGCGCCTTGCATTCAGACCTCACGCGGTTGGGTGGGGAGGCGGCTGTGCAGCGAGGCCCACTCAAACCCCACTGAAACCTCTCTGGGCAGAGGAACCTTCTCTTTCTGAAACCTCACAGCTTGCTCTCCTGGCTGTGAACAAGGAGAAAGTTCTAGAGCAGAAATGCCAGCTAGGGGGTAGCTACTCCAGTGCAGCCACATCAGTCTGAAAACACGGGCTCATCAATTCCATGACGTCCACCATGAACTCTCTCCCTTTGTCTTCCCCATCTTTTAGTGGGGAGGAGGTCTTCCCCGCTCAGCCCTGTCACCGCCTCACTCTCACATTCTTAGTCTCACTACCTCGCTCTGCCCCTCTGCGTGCTTACGAGCCCCTTATCCAAAAACCCCGCTCTGGGCCCGCCCTCCACCTGCTTCCCCAGAGGCCCCATAGAGGCCCGGCGATCTGGTCCCTGCACTGCCGGTGACCTCGCCTCCTGCTGCCCTCCCCCGCTCACTGCACACCAGCCACAACGGCTTCCGTTCTGCACTCGACCATGCCCAGCTCGTGCCTCAGAGCCTCTGCCCTGGCTGCTCTCCTTCCTCCCTCCCTCACTTCATTCAAGGCTCTGCTCAAACACAGTCTCCTCCTCTGGGAAGCCTGCCCTGGCTGCGATCTGCAATGCCCCCCACGCCAGTTGTGCTCCTCCCCCAATCTCCTCCCCTCACCAGGTCCTGGCAATTTGCTTGCTAGTGCTTTGTTTGTGCTCTCGTTTCCCGCTGTATCCCTAGGGCTTCAACAGCGACTTGGTACATGGGAAGTACCAACATGTATGCACGGATGAGAAAACAGAAGCGTAGAAAGGGGTTAAGTAGCTTCAGATCACAGTGTCAGCACTGGGGTCTGTCCCCAGGTCTGGCCCTGAGGTCTGAGTACTGAACCACTGCTCTGTATCAGTGCCATCAATGTTTTATTCATTCCATAAACTTTTTGAGCATCTATCCTATGCCAGCTTCTGTAGCTTTCCTCCCACCTCTTCCTAAATTGGGCCACGTGCAGTTCTCCAAATAGACTCTCCCCCACCACCACCTTCTCCTAGAAGCCGTCTCACAGTCCTGCCGTGGGGCCTTCACTCCCTCCAGAAGCAAGTACTGAATTCTCAGAACGCTTTGCTTGCCCTTCCTGTGCCAGATTATTTGAGTCATCCGTATCCCCACTGCAGCACGCACACAGCAGGTGCCTAATGCATGCATCTTAGCCCACCACAAGGATGCCACACCATCAGCCTAGATCGCTTGATTTAGGGAAGCTGATTTTCCGCTGTTACCCAATTGACGAATGGGTTGTTGGTCTGTTATTTGTCTGGCACCTTTCTCTACACAGGAATATAAGCCATTCACATTTATTGAGGGCTAACTATGTGCCAGGCACTGTACTCAGCACTTAGTTATTTCTCACACCAAACCTCGTTTTACAGATGGGAAATGGAGACAGGCACTCAACTGCCATAGCAGGTGAAGGGAAGGGATTAGGATTTGAACCCAGGGCCTGTTGTATTAACCTGTACAGTATATGGCTACGTGACTGGTAAAGAGACTGTGCTGTGAAGTTCAGTAGCACAGTCTTCTGGGGGCCCTGAAATCTTCAGTGTCTTTCATGTGAACCAGGAAAAGGCAAGGGCAGGCTCTGCTAAGTGAACAGCGGAGGCGGCCCTGTGCTGAGTGGTTAAGGTGGTCACTGAGTATCACTTTCTCAAAACAGAATTGGGGCCAGTGGTGTTGAGTCTGCCACAAGTACCTCTGACCTTTTATTACCCTGAGAGAGAGGCACTGTGATGAAAACACTGATGAACTTGTCACTCAGGGGTGATGTCTAAGCCTGAAAACTAAGGCTGAAACCAGAAAGGAAAAGATGGACAGATTTAAAGTTGTTTCTCTTTAAAACTTTAAAGAAGAAATCTCTGATATATTTTCAGTACATATGACAAACGGTCATTCATATATAAAGAGGTGTTACAAATCAACAAGAAAAATATAATTATTCTAATAAAAATGACTGCAGACAGAAAAAGAAGAGAATAGACCAGAGGTCAACAAACTTTTTCTGTAAAGGGCCAGATAAAAATATTTTCCATTTTGTGGGCTCTATGGCCTCTTACTCAACTCCTCAGCCGTGCTTTGTTAGTGTGAAAGCAGCCATAGACAATATATGAGCAAATGGGCATGGCTGTGTACCGATAAAACTTTATTAACCAAAACAGGCCAGGGGCCGGATTTGGCCTGAGAGACATAGTTTGCTGATCCCTAGTATATACCAGTGGCAAAAAAGAAAAGGAAAGCAGACTGTTTTCTTTGCTTTTTTGGGATGGCAATCTGGGGAAGCCAATGCCTCTTACTAGTATTGTTCCTCAAACAATTCTGGGTTAAGTTGGTGTTAAATTTCTAAAAACTGCATTGATTGCTATTAAAAATCCCACTCTGCCCCAGGAATTTTCTGATTCACTTGAAGGCCCGGACACCTGCATGCTGACTTCCTTCTTTTAGCCAAGCTCAGAGGTTCTCAAACTTCAGCTTGTGAAGAATGGCTGCTCAGCGTTACATACAGAAAACCACACAGATACACGCTGGGTTCCCCTTAAGAGATTTTCAAGGATAATTTTAATTGTAGGACTTTTCCCCTTAACTGCTGACTTTGGAACTTAAGCCCCCGAGAAAGAAGCAACAGGCAGGAGTGGATAGACCCCTGCAGCTTCTCTCCCAAACCTCAACCATGTTTTCTATGATTCGGTGAGATCGTGTGAGTTCCCACACGAGCCCGAGAGCCTGGGGCCAGCCACCAAGGCCATGGCCTGAAAGACACTCCTCCAGCTTGGATGGGATCCAGAGAGGCTGCGTTCTCCAGGCCAACTCGGAGTCTCAGAGCCGACAAGGGTGCAGGCCCCCTACTGCCCTTCTCCTGCACACCTCGCTGAACTCACTCCCGAGTCCCAGGCTTGGGGCGAGATGAGAGGGCTGGACCTTAGGATACTGAACCACAAAGCTCACCAAGTGTTCTTTCGTCCCAGCTGCTCTCAGGTAGAGCTCCTCTCAAGGCCAAGAGTGACCTCCAGGCCGAGACTGTGCCCTGAGCGACAGCTCTGGTTTCCCCACGAGCAGTGGAAAGGGGCTGGGGGGGAAGATGGCCACTGGCCTCGGGCCTGCCCCTGTGACCTTGGTATCAAAGCTGAAATGATCTGTCCTCTGAGAACGAAGGTCCCCCAGGGCTCTGCTTGTCCGTGCTAAGTATCTTCCCAGCCTCTCATCGTCTCCCATCCGCCCTGCACGCTCTGGGGGCACTGGAGAACACTGGAGAAGAGCTTTCCAGAGGGGCCAGACTTCAGAGGCTCAGTGAAAAAGACAAAAAAACCCTTGATAGGCCTGTGGCCTTCAGCCGTGGGTGGGGCCTGAAGAGGGCCTGGTGGTAAATCCCCTCCGAGGCCTCGCAGAGCAGAGCTGGGCGCTGGGAAGGCTGAGCCAGCCGCCCGAGTTCCCAGGCCCTGTGAGGTCAGAAGCGCTGCCAAGATCTAACATGAGGGAGGGAGGCAGCACATGAAAAAGGCCCTTTGACAGCTTCTCTGAACGGCCCACACTCTCGCACTGACTTCAGCTGCGTTTTTGTCATCTTGATTCCTTGGACGTGAAGCCCCCTGGAGGGAGCCTGACACCTGGTGGGTGTCCAGCAAAAGTTCACTGGTGTTATTATTGCTTTTGACTGCAGTGCTGACAGTCCCTGCTGGAGAATGTGCCAGAGAAACCCTGCCCCACCAAGGGCTCACGCCAGTATTAGGAGGCGTCGCAGCCCCACCCTCTTGGAAACAAGGTTTTGGGGTGTTAGCTCCGCTACGTGTGCTAATGCGCACGGCATCTGCTGGTTAGTTTTACTGGGTTTTCAGAGTGAGCCATCAGTGTGATGTAATGAACCCACTTTCACTGACCAAGGGGCCATTCAAAAGCCACAGCCCAGCGAGCTGGGAAGTCGGAAGGAGACGGGTAACCCAGCAATGCCGACGCTGGCTGACTTCCGGGGGTCACTCGCCATGTGCTGGGCGCTTACTCCAATCAGAGTGTGCAGGGGATGCAATGACAGCTGGGGCACAGAAAGGTCAAGTGACATCCTCACTGTCCCACATGGACTCTATACCCAGAGCCTCCTGACACTGCGTTGGCCCAGGATCCATAGTCACTCAAGGAGGATCAGCTGCCTCAAGTCAGGTGAGGGGCTCCACTGAGCTCAGTGGGAAAACCACGGCTCCACCCCGGTCGCAGAAGCTGGGTTCACATCCAGAAATCAGGCAGCGAGTTAACGCCCCCAAAGTGCACAAGAAAGCCCCTGGGAAGAGCTGGAGCTTCGAGTTGATGAGATCAAAATCAGAAATTACCTAAGCACAGGGCGCTTCTCGGGTTTTCTGATCTACCTGCCCTCTCTTGTTCCCAAGGGCAGAACAGCCCACCGTTGATGGAGAGCCTGACTTAACTGGATACGCCAGTCAAAGTCTACAAAACCAAGGAGCTGGCACAGTGCAGGAGCAGAACTTGCAAAGACGGGAACAGGGCACAGCTGCATTCTTCCTAGGACGGGGTGATGGGGCCCCTGGGAGAGCATGCAATTCCCAGAGCCTCGTCCCCCCTTCTCCCCACCCCAACTTTGAGCTCCAGCCTCACAGACGCAGAGAAGCTCAGGGCTGTCCCCCAGGGGTGTCCACTTCAGAAGTGGTGGGGCCCAGCCCTCAAGAGCAGGACATGCTATCTGTGAGGATGGTCAGAAGACGAGGAGAGAGGGCCTTCAGGGTGTAAAGTTTTCTCATACGAAAAAAAAAAAAATTCAAGTTAAGGAAACACACAGCTGGAAAACAAAAGGAGAGGCAGAAGATAGCAATTACCTTTAACTTTGATTTCTCGGATCAAAGATCACAGTCATTCTGTTTCATAATATGTTTTGTATCCAGCTAAGGTGTGTGTCTATCAGCTCTGAAAAAGATTTGCAAAACCATTTTTGAGAAGAAAAATCACCTTCGATCTCTATTATGCTTCCAACTCATGCTAATATCATCTCTTTAATGAATACCTCTTAACCTAGGGCCACTGGGAACACAGGACAGAACTTAAGCCTCTGGCTGTATGTAGTTTAAGCCCGAATTCTGTATCATTATAACATTTGTGCCAGAATTAACCCAAAACCAGGGTAATAATCACTGAGACGAGGGACTTTGTGCAAAGAGATGGGGATCTGAGATCAAAGTGTATGGGCAAAATTATGGTGGGCTTTCTTTGTTTTTTTAAGCTGGAGAGGACGGTATGTCATGGAGTTTCAAATCATGGCCAAGTAAGAGGAGAACATAAAAAAGCTGGCCTCTGCTGCGGTCAAAGAAAGTCAGGATCTACTTAATTGTAACCCTCCCTCAGGCTTTCCTAACTGCTCAACTTGACTCCCTCTTCCTTCTTACTAGACACACAACCTCAGTGGGCATGCAGATTCACAAGACTGCACATTTGCTTCCTGTTTTTTTTGGTCGACAATGAAAACAGTTACTATTTTTTACAACCCCTGCCCAATCGCAGCACTGAAGGCACTTAAAAAGGGGACGTGACAGCAGGCTACTTTACAAGCCATTCTATGATATCACATCTTCTCCTCACTTTTATATAACAGTGAACTCCCCTCCAGGGCTGTATCATGCCTACAGCGTTCAAAACGCTTGTTCCCTCAATCCCCTTTGACCAAATTATAAGGCTAGAGTCCGTTCTGAGCGCCTGACATAGAAATATTTTCTGGGATTAATTTCCGACAGGGATGATCCAACTTGTACTCAATGCAGCTTTATCAGCATCAGTAGGTAAAGCAGGATGCTCTTTCCAGAAAAGGTGTGAGCTCCCTGAAATCTCATCTTCAAGGCAGAGAATACCCATTAATGAGATCTTTCCGGCAGTTCTGCAGTTACAGGCTGGGCTCCCAAATGCTGGGCTGCAGGAGGGTTGGTTTGGTTGGGCCCCGTTGGGGTGAGTGACAGGCTGCTGCGGCCCAGGACGAAATAGCCACCTCCCCTCTCCTCCTCAGTAGCGGCTATAATCACAGTTTGGACCCTGTGTGTCAGGCTATCACTTGAAGCAAAAAGGTCCACTCTCCAAAATCCCAGGTGCCTGTGGCCCTAAGGCCATCTCTGTCTCTACTACACATCGGCTCGTTCCAAACCCAAGAGCAGAGGCACTGTCAGATGACTCACTCAGGGCCTTGAGACACCGCCTGTATCCTGCCAATGGCCCAATGAATGTCTTCAGCCCAGACCTCACTCCCGAACTTCAGACTTAGATATCTAATTGCCCACTGGGCATCTCAAACTTAACATGGCCAAAAGCAATCTCCTGATACTCACTCCCACCCCATCAACCCCCCTAAAAAGAAGAGCCTGTTCCTCTAATTCCCATTACAGGAAACACACTCCCTTCTTCCTGTTGTTCAGGCCAATCTTGGTCACAGCCCACATCCCCTCCCTATGTAAATGCTTCTGGATCTACCCTCAAAATCTATCCAGAAACTAACAGTCTCTACCACCTCCTGTCTGGATCACTGCCCTGGCCCCTCACCCGTCGCCCTGCCTCTGTGCCGGGGCCCCTGGTCTGCGCCAACGGCAGGGTGGTGTCGTTGGAACTTAAGGTAGAGCATTCGGCTCAGTGGTTATTCCCAGAAAAAATAGCTCCAAGGTGCTCTAATGGCCAAGACGTTTTCACTTTATCCACATCTACTCATTCAAGTAGCATTTAGTAGGTACCAGGTGCCACGCACAGGCCCAAGGTCACAGCCTTGGAGCAGCAATTCAAACCGAGGTGGAACCCCAGGTACCAGGCTCCTAACACCAGCCGGCCAGGACCCGGGGGCTTTGAGGGTGGGTCTCAGGGGACCCAAAAGGCCAGAACCCAAGAAGCCAAGCCCAGCTCTATCTCCACTCCCTGCCCCTCGTCACGAGTTCAGAGAATTCATACAGCAGCAAACTGACAGGTTTGTCTGTGGCCTTTTGAGGTGCAGCTTCCTGTTTAGTCATGAAGTTTCACTCCTTAATTGTCTGTTTCTTGGTGGAAGAGAGAGGCAAAAAGAGTCAGAGGAAAGGCCTGTTTTAATTCAACTAAAACCCAAAATTCAACTCAAGACCTAGACGCCCACCAATCATCCTCCTCTGCAGGCTGCTGTTTGCACGTCTCGTTTAATCCTCACGGCCATCTCCGGGGGCCGGTGGTGTGATGCCCATTTCTCAGGTCAGCTTACTGAGGCAGAGAAAGATGGAGTGACTTGTCCAGGAACAGCCCCCTGGCTCTGGGCATAGCCAAGATGTGGCCCCAGCTCCATGGCTGCTAGTCCCAGGCTAGGGCCTCCCCATTTGGAAGATCGTCAGGCTGCCCTGGGGGCTGGGTTAAAATGCAGATTAGCATCAGAAACCCTTGGAACAAAAGCATTCTGTCAGTACATCTGTGTAAGTCTCACAGCCTCTCACTGAGCCTCAGTTTCCCCATAAAATAGGGATAAGAACACCTCCTTGGCAAGGTTGCTGTGAGGATTAAATGAGATGATATAGTTGGCTTATTGGCAGGTGTTTATTTTTAACTCTGCAGTAGGGCCCTCTGAAGAAGAAAGACGGGAGAGTGAGAGAAAAAGATGTGGAAGGAGACAGAGACCAGTCCAAGACAGTCCTCTCCAACAACCAAGAAGACAATTCTATTTCCCTCCACATTTCAACAGGAAGTAAGTTCCATTGATGAGTGTGTCTGTTCTGGTCAGTTGTTAGTAACAGGGGGGGTGGACATCAAGAGCTACCATATGCTGCCTCAGTGACACCTACAAACCCTCCCAAAGGCAGGGTCCTAGAATCACTGCCCCATTTTGTGGTCTTTTATGAGGCTAGAGCTGAAGAGCTATACAGTGATGTTGTATTTTTGCAACCCTAGGCATAAATCGGGGAATCATCCCATCAGTCTGTGGATTTGATGGTAACAGGTTATGGATTGCAAGTGGTTCACTATCATCAACACTGATCATTAACACAAAAGCACAAGATGTCAACAGAGAAAATACAGACAAACACACAGACCCAAGAATCTGTCACCTTGACAAATTATGCAACTAGCTTCCAGCCTTCTGAGCATAGGCATGCGTCTTTGAATGAGATGGAATTAGATGGGAAGACCTGTGTGCGTCTGTGTCACGGAGCTGATGGGGACTAGAGAGACCAGTCTAAGGTACGTTCAGTTTGATGGTTCTACAATGAAATACTGATGTCCCTCCCAACCGGCGGAGAACCCGCTCCCATCTCCTCCTTTCTCCACTTCTTCCGTGATTACACATCAGCTTACAGTCTAGGGAGAAACAACTCGGACTTTTCTCTGAGCTAAGCTGCCCTACAAGGAAGGACTAACCAACTGTGTAAACTCAGGCCCCTTCCGCCTCATCCTTTCCTTCCATTCAGCAGAACATCTTCTGACTCGAGGCAGCTAAGCTGCACCTCTCCTGTCAAGCAACCACACAGCTTCTATGGCAGCAACCACAGCAGGGAGAGCGTTCGAACAAACCACGGCTTACTTCCTTGTCCTTCTGCCATTTCTTCACGGCCTCGACCCCAAACCTCTGCTCGGTGGCCTCAGCCACAAAGCAAGCACTGCAAAATAAGTCATCGCCTTTTTTTTTAAACAAAACAGAAGCAAAAGAAAAGCACTTGTTACTACACCCAGTTGAGAATCGGGAAAGAAACAGTGATCCAAACCCACAAGTCAGCCTGCGACCACAAATGAGATGATAAAATAAACACCTAATTGTTTGGGAAGCCATCTTTCTCTTTGGGGGTTGGAGGAATTAACCAAGCTTTTATGTGAAGACATTTGAGTTTGTCTGTCCTTGTTTATCCGTGAGAGATGGCCCTGAGGCTGGGCGCGGGGGTCAAACCCTCTGCTGGATGAGCAGGTGGAAGCCTGGAGCAGCAGGAAGCATTTCCATCCTGAACCACTTTCCTCATGTCACAGAATTGCACAAAACTTCCTCGTGGCCTCTCGGAGGAGGTCCAAACCCCCCGCCTGCCTCGCAAGACCTTTGCTTCAAAAACCAGCATGGCCCTGCTGCTTGGAAAGGATTCACTGTGTAGCTGTCGAATCACCCAGCACAGCCTCCACCTCCCCTTCCCATAAATTCACCTTCCAGATCATTCGATGTCCTCCCACATATGTCATGACCAGCTCACAGCACAACCCCCCGCCAAAAAAAAAACACAACCACACATACACCCACACATTTCCAAAGCCCAACATAAGCCCACATCCTGTAAGGAGGCCTCCTGACCACTTCACGCTCCTTCCATGATACCTTCCCCTCTGTCTTATGTACTCTGTCTTGAAATTTCCCCCCCTAAAAGATTTCAGCCACATCTGCCTTCCCCTCGAGTCCTTCAGCCTAGTTTATCAGAATTGATGGCCCTGCAGGCTGACTTCCTGGGAGTGTAGGCCTGTCCCCACGTGCCATTGGCAAGCCCTCACCACGGGGCCCAGCCCTGGGCAAGCCCGCCGCCCCCACCACCAGCCTGGGGGGGCATGGGGGAGGGCAAATGCAGGGCCAAGCACCCTCCACCTTCCTGGTTCAGCCCAGGGCCTGTGGGGCGAGTGACAGCAAGCTAAATCAGGACCCCCCTGGGCCACCCAGCACCCCCTTCCAGGCTCACAGGCAAGAGAAGCCTAGAAAGAAATTCCACCAGGTCCGAGCAGGGAACAGACCCAGTCCTAAAGTTCTCCAAGTGAGACTCACAGGCCCGGCCACGGCACTTAGCGCTCTCAACTCACAGGCTGTGACCGGCAAAGACTCTGCGTGTGTGTGTGACATGACACCAGGTGTCCCTAAGATACACTAACTCTCCCAGGACACGCAGACAGAGCCCTAACTCCTGATTCACCCTCTTGATCAAAACTTCCAGCTGTACAGTCCCTACTATGGACTGAAT